TCCAGACTATAGAAACTCGATAACCGTATGCAAATTCAATTGTCAGATTTCTTGAAATATAGGGCCATTTGGAGATCTATGGTGACTTGACGGTGACATGCGGTCTTTCATATATCTATCACTAAACTATGGAAAGTGCTCTGAACATGGGGACTAGCATAACGGCACATTTATTAACCACCAATCAATTATTTTTGCATTCTCAACATTGAGTTTTTTATAAGCATAAGTTTCTCCTAGACTTAATTTCCACTGAATAGATTTGCAATGAAATTTTCAAAAATCGATAAGGAATTCTTTGATTGAATGCAGTTTTTCCTTGTTATGTATTTGTTGCATTTTACATAAATATTTTATAAAACCTCATATTGACACTTATCTTTCAGTATAATATAGTGCGAATCTGTATGATACAAGTGTCTGTAACTCTTCAGGTTTCTTCTGAAATTTACTGGAAATGACGAAGAGGTCAATCTTCTGGGAGACGGGACTGAAAAGCCCGAGTTTAGACAGTGGTCGTGGATGTCGAGTCAAGAGATAGTTGACTATGTCAGTTTTCTTTTATTCCTTGAAAAAAAAAAAAAAACCCTTGCTATAGAACTTTAACACATCATGTTGATTGATTCTTGGTGCTTTGCAGGTAGTGGATTTCAAGAAGCCCGTCTATATGGAAGTTTTGAAAGTTTTCTCTTCATATCTTTGACTAGGTTATCGAATTTTTGCCGTGTCAATAAGATCCAACGTTGTTTTCTGCAGATTGCTAGGTCATTGCATTTTGTCGAACATGGTACATGAGTTCGTATCATATCAAATATTGTGGGCTTATTTTTGTTCGTCACTATGAGAAGTTTATTCCTTGGGATATCTAATTTTGAAGAAAATTCCTACAATCCAATTTAATTCAATCAAAAATCCTATGTTTATATATTAAAAGATAGCACAAGTTGATCTAGATTTGAAGTTAGGGTTGGTTTATTCCCTTCCTTCAAATTGGAAATAATACTACAATCTAGGAATTGTAAAATTAATTAACATTATAAATTAGCCGATTGAAACCAGTTAAAGGTTTTACCCGTCAAATTCGATAATCAACTTGTTTGATAAAGAAATTATTTGATTAGTTTTTTTATTCCAAAACGTTGATTCTAAAAAAGTTTAATATATAAGTATTTTGAAAAGAGAGGATTCATAGATATTATGCCAGATAAATTTTTCAAAATTGTATACAATTCACTATTTGCTAAATAATTATTTACAAACAACTAATACAATCCAGTAAATAAATAGGCTATTATAATTAGGGTTGGTATCGGTTCGGTAACCGAACCGATAACATAAAACCGAAACCGAACCGATATGTTTCGATTTCACTAATATTCAAACCGAAACCGAACCGATAAGAGGTCGGTAATCGATTTTTTGGTTACCGATAAGGCGGTTCGGTTTCGGTTTTTACCGATAAGAACCGAAAAAACCGAAATTACTGTACATTGGCAGATGGATAAAAAAAAAACAAAACCATCAGTCATTCTTGCATTTTCCTACAGAAAAACACACCATATCCAAATAACAAGCTTACCCACATCCAACTAACTTGCAGCCTCTGCTTATAATCCTTACACATTTTAATCAAGATTAGTAAGGGACCCGAATGAAAATACAAAATTAACAATCTTCATATAAAGGAAAGGACATGATAAGCTCCACGGTAATATCATCCGTCCTTTTTTATTAGACTAATAATTATAATATAAGACCAAATTTTTTAATTTAACTAATATTTATATACCAATTCAAAACTTAAAACCAGTGTTTTATTTATTTATTTATTTTTTATATTGTTATCGGTTCGGTTCGGTAAAACTGAACTCTTATGAGTTCGGAATCGATACCGAACCGATAACATTTCGGTAACCGAAAATCGGTTACCGATACACAAGATTCGATTCGGTTCGGTTTATTTCACATCGGTTCGGTTCGGTTCATTTCGGTTTTCGGTAAAAAAATACCAGCCCTAATTATAATCTGTTGTAAGCTAACCGTTAATACAACTAGCAATCCATTTTTCGCCAACAGCTTATAGCCAAACATAACCAATGCCTATCCAAGCCTAGTTACAATACATGAAATGTTGCCGCATAGGATCTCAAAGCGTGCGAGTCTACGACTTAATCTCATCATATTCGAGAATTATATTTAAGGAAAGAAATATCAGAGACTTGAATTCATTTAGTCATGGCCTAATCCCAGTTCTGGACGCACGACTGAACCGACTCAATAATATATATGGGCCGGTTCAAGGAACCAACAATTCTGGTTTAAAACCGGCTGGTCGGTTATGGGCCAACCAATAAATTTAAAAAAAACAAAAAGTAGATAAACAAAATAAATCTAAAAAAATTGCTGAACTGTTGGTTCCTGTCCCGGTTCATTTTTTAAAACCATGAACATGAACCCGACCAAGGTAAAACCACGTGTCGATTCAATGCATGCGGTTAACAGGCCTAACCAACCCAGTTCCGATTTCGGTTCAATGTTTTAAAATCATGAACATGAACTGGCCAGGGTAAAACCACGGGTCGATTCAAGGCATGCGGTTAACGGGCCTAACCAACCCGATTCAACCAGTGACATGTCTAATTTCATTCACTGAAGGAAATTTTAAATTGCACTGATCCTTATCTACATAAAAATGTGTAAATCTACTAGACCATTGATATCTCCAAGATTCAAAAAGTTAATTGATAAACATGTCCCTATACTTAGGGTTTTTTCTCTTCTCATAGAGAGTGAGTTCAATTATTGGACTTCATGGCTTTAGTTTTTTTTGCATGTTTTATATTTGTTTTCTAGTCTCTTTAAGGCTCTTTGTGTCTACATTTTTTTGCTCCATGGTTAGGTTTCAGTCGAGTTAAATCTCTCGTCTTCTTTGTTCTTTGTTTGAGTAGTAGATTCAGTTATTTCATGGCCATCCGAGCTTGCAATTTAGGGTTTTTTAAGGGTTGTAAAGTGGCTTAGTAGGTAAAATCAAATGGAGAAAGACATCACAAAAAAGTTACAGAAATTCTTGCTATCAGAGTAAAAGGATTTGGGGGTTTCGTTATCAGAAGAGGATGTTTTGTTGTTAGTGTCCAGGAGTGCCAAAATAATTTAATACGGAAGATCTTCGGTGAAGAGAAGGCAAATTTTAACGGGGTCAGGACATTTGTCCTTCTTAGCATTTGGAGTGCCAAATAAAGTTTCATGGTGAGATGCACCGAGCATAACCTATTCCAGTTCATTTTTCAGAATGAGGAAGATAAGATGAAAATCTTGCAAGAGAAGACTTGGACTTTCGATGGGCAGTATCTCCTTCATAAGAATTGGAGTCCAACGGGTATCGAATTTCAAGGAAAAGAGGAAAAAATCAATGTGTGAGTGCAGATATTGAATTTATCATTACACTGGATAGCAGCATAACCAGAAAAATGGTTCTGCTCAAGAGTCAAGACTACTGTTTATTTGCACAAGAAAATGAAGGTGAATTCTTGGCTATGTTAGTTTGTCGATGATGCCCTCCTTATAGGTTCTAGTGCTCATCTTTTAAACTCTATAAAGAGGTTTTTGCATAAGGAATTTACTATAAAGGATCTCAGTGCTGCAAAGTATTTCTTAGGTGTGGAGATCACAAGAGATAGCTCTGGTATTAAGTTGTGCCAACAGAAGTTTATACGTTATGAATTTTATTGAAGACATTGGGTTACTTGATAGTAACGAGACATCCACACCACTTCCTCATGCACTTAAACTTTCAGGTTTTGATGGTACTCTTTTGGATGAACTAGATCAATATAGGAGACTCATGGAGAGTTGCTCAATTTTGAACATGGCATGATCTGATCTCAGTTATGTTGTGCAACACTGAGCTAATTTGTCAACAATCCCTGCACAAATCATTGGAGTGCAGCCATCTCAATCCGTAAGTACTTGAAAGGAACTTCTTCTCTTGGGGCTTCATTATAAAAAATAAAAATAAAAATAAAACTCAAAATGGCAACTCAACTCTTATTGTGATGCGGATAAGGTTGCTTGCAAAGATACTAGGCAATCAATCACAAGGTATTGTTGTGTTTTTGGTGGCTAATCTGAAATCTTAGAGAAGCAAGAAGCAAACTATTGTCTTGCGTTCCTCAGCAGAGGTCGAGTATCGAGCCATGACTACAACTGTTTGTGAGTTGAAGTGGATTCACACCTTAGGTATTGATCTATCTTTGTCTTTCCCATAGTCAATCACTATGTGGTGTGACAGTCGAGTGACTGTGCATATTACGACTAATCCTGTGTTTCGTGAGCGTACCAGACACTTGGAGATTGATTGTCACGTTGTTCGCAACAAGTTTAAGGTAAGATATGTGTTATTGTCCTATGTTCCATCTCACTCACAACTTGCTGATTTACTCACCAAAATTTTTCCAGCTAGACCTTTCTGATCTAATCTTAAAGTTTGGTATGGTTGTTGTCCACCTTACTCCAACTTGAGGAGGGGGTCTTGAACATGCACGTGTGTGACGTGGCATGCATGCGTGTACATGAGTTGCGTCTCATTTCCTTCCATTCACATTTTTCTGTTTCTTGTTTAAAAACGAAAGTCACGTTTCACTTTATTCTTTTAGCTTACATTTCTTATAATGCAAACTACGTCGTTTTATGGCGTTTGTAGATTGAATTGGGCAAGGTATTAATCGCCTCATCAGTTTGAATGAATTGATCAGATATTTTGAAATAGAAAAAGGATTTCTCGATTGTTTTAGTTTCTTCAGAACCAATAAATATAAAATAAAAAAATAAATATTTAAAACTTGTGGTATATATAATATTGAATAATATCTATTATCGCAGCTTCCTATATCTTAATTATTTATATTATCGCAGCTTCCTATCACCCACGTTTTCTTTCTTTAAGAAAACACAAATACATAAAACTAATAGCTAAAATAATTTCAGTTTGGTCGCAGATATGCATGGCGTTGAAATCTTCAAATCTCTGTAAGAGAAACCCTTTTATGGTATGAAATAAAAACCCAAGCTTCCCCCAAAAGTTTTATCTTTTTTTTTTTTTTTTCTAACCTTTTTTTTTCTCCTTCCCTTCGATTTTAACTTCAATAAAGGTTTCCAATTGTAAAAAAAAATTGTGGGATTTTCATAATTATTTGGGCGCGTTAGTAATTTTTTTGTATTATTTCGAAAATTCCCAGATTCTCTGTGCAAAGAATCTCAATTGTTTTAAGGTAATGGGGAATAGTGTCAAGTTCGAGGGCGTAAGAGAGGAGGTGCAGAAGATTCTGGATGCTGACATGGAACAGGTGGGGCCCAGGCGCCATGCCCGTGAGGCCTTCAAGGACATTCAGCTGTCTATTGATCATATCTTGTTCAAGGTATTCACAGCTGATCTATGCAATTGGGATGCTAAAAAACAAGTTTATTTGAAAACAAAATTCGAATCTCTGTTAATGACAGGAGTTGTGTGGCTGATTGCTATTTAGAAACTATTTTTTGGATCTTTATGTGTAGCAGCCTTTAGTAGTGTTAAAAAGGTTGAATCTTGGAAAATGGAGTTCTTGGCATTAGACATAAATTATTTGTATGCGATATTCCGAAAACCGTGTTTCTGTCGTAGTTACACTCACGCTATATATGTATAAATTGTTTTGGGAGGTTTAAGGTCTTTAATGGAGTAGGATGTCCAACTGTGAAGGAAATCCTACCACAGTTTCCTTTTGCTTGTATGGGTCCAAGGTGGATTTAGCCGATGTTGTGTTTCTGATCTTTGATAGGAGCTCAAAGTTTTTATATTCTTTGTATAATCCATGTTATGATGCGTAAAGTATGATGAATCGAAGCTATTAATTTGTGTGTTGTTTGTTAAAACTGGACGATCATTGGTTGACCAGAATCAGGAGTGGGTGTAAAGAAAATGTGCGGTGATACTGTGGAATCGTTATGTTCTGACAAGAAAGAGATAAAATCAAACAGTACTCGTTTAAAACGTGATTATAGCTGATGTTGTGTTTCTGATCTTTGATAGGAGCTCAAAGTTTTGATTTTATTGTATAATCCATGTTATGATGTGTAAAGTCTGATGAATCAAGGCTATTAATATTGTATGTTATTCATTAAAACTGGATGATCATTGGTTGACCAGAATCAGGAGTGGGTGTAAAGAAAATGTGCGGTGGTATTGTGAAATCGATATGTCCTTTTTTCTGACAAGAAAGAGTTAATATCAAACAGCCTTTAGACATATCTATAGATGTAACACTGATAGAATTCCGTGAATATATAGGGATCAGAGAAGAGGTATAAATGGAGATCGTATTTGGTTGGTTCTTAGTAGTAATGGATAAGAGGTGTCATGTTAAATGGATGGACATAATTCTTTTCATCAATGGTAGAGTTGACGAAAATATTATTATGGATGAACTTATTAGCTAAATGACAGAGTACTCGTTTAACACGTGAATATATGCTGAACGGCATCGAGATGAAAATTATTCCATGATACTTTTCTTTTGCTGCAATCAACCGTATTTGTACAATTTGCAATATTCCGCTTTACTGGTTTTTAACACGTAATGGACAGTCATGCAGGTGAATTATTAACACTACTGTCCCTGCAAGTCAAATCTTTACTTAATATGTAGGATCATCATAAAATGTCAGAAGCGAAATGCTTTTATTAATATTCCTATACTAGTAACGTAGATCTTAATCTATGAAGTATGGACTCAGTATGGGCTCGACCTTTATAAATTACGATGGGAGATCTCAATCTTAAATCAGTTTCATGTTGTTATGCCTGTTACTTGACTAATCTTGCATTTTTGTGCTTGAAAATTTTCATGATTAATTTATTTCCTCTTCCTTTGTTCTCTGGCCACAATAAATGTGCAGTCATTCTGTGACGGGAAAAATGTAAAAGGTATTCTGCATTTTAAGAATATTGAAAATGAAGCATTAGCAATTACTTATGTTTACATGAAATTATTTTGCAGATGCCACATGAAGGATTGAAGATGACAGAGGTAAATAATTTTTTCCATAAATTCTGAGATATATCCTAAGATTGAACTCAATGCAACCTAATCTCCATTTTTTATCTTCAGCACTTCATTATCCGGACTCAAATTTTTAGCGGAAAACCTACTCCATTTTTTTGTTTACCTAACAAATTTGTTAAATTACTAGAGTGTCTCTCATACACTTTCCTAGCCTTTATGCTCTATTAATCAGATCATGGACACATCAAGAAACCTTGGATTTTAGCTCATGTTAAACACTTCTTTCTGTGATGTTCTAACAATTATGTGTTGATTCACTTTGAGTAGTTTGTAGTGTATAACTGCACTAGATATTGACATTTGTATACTTACATTAGATCTGTTCAACAGTCATATGAAGTAAATTCTAGGGGGTTGGAGATTTTCACGAAAAGTTGGCTTCCGGAAAGCATATCCTTGAAAGGAATCATTTGTCTTTGTCACGGTTATGGAGACACCTGCACCTTTTTCCTTGAAGGCATGTGGATAATACGAGTACTATAAAAGGTTATTTGTGAACTTTCTAAAAGAGTGATACTTAGTGACTTATGCTTGTTGCTGTAGGCATTGCCAGAAAATTAGCGACTTCTGGTTATGGAGTATTTGCGATAGACTTCCCAGGATTTGGTCTGTCTGAAGGCTTGCATGGATATATTCCAAATTTTGATAATGTAGTGGATGATGCTATCGAGCACTTCTCGAAAGTCAAAGGTATGAAGTAGATGTAAAGCCGAATTAATATCATGTGACGATTTTTACCATCTCTGTTTTAAATATTTTTCTTTTATTTGTTAGAGACTGATTAATTTTAGACTTTATTCAAGAAACTGAGCAGAGTAAGTCTCTTACTACCCATCTTGTTTGTTCAATATTTATGTTACTTGGATCCTGCAAGATCGTGTTTTTTAAGAGTTAGCTTGGACTAGATGTTTCTCTAACCATCTTTTACAATTTCATTGAAACATCAGTTTTTCCATCTTAGAAGAAAATGTGAACTGAGAAGTATTGTGGCTCTGAATATTGAATGAGATCTATTGAAGATACAAATATAGTGTGTACACATTTTATCTTGTATCATCCCTCTACATTTTTCATAGTTCATTTTCTGTTTCAAATTACCGTTGGAATTGGTGTACTACATGTTGTAAACACGCATGATTGGTATGAGGGAATGACATAGGAATTGAATGATCATTTCCTTAGTCATTCTTAATCCCATGAGTGGTATATTTTTTAGAAAAGAATGACAAATCCTATGGGAATTGCAAAACCCATCTTCATGGGATCAACCATTCCATATCTAATGCATGGTTTTCTCATTCTCATATCTTTAGCAATCGATTTTTCAAAAAATAAAATTAACAAATAATAATAAAAAATAAATATATAATATATACTAATCATGATTAAATTATGTTAAAAAAATTATTTTAAAAAATAAATTGTAAATAAAAAATATTTTTATTTATTGTTCATATTTTTATTAGATATATTAAATACTTATATAAGAATAAAACCCACAAAAAATGCATTTATAAATAGTTTAAAAATCTTATTTTTTTTTATATCATCATATATATTATATATTTATTCACATATGTAATTATATTCTAAAAAATATATTTGAAAACATATGCTTATAGGGGTTTATGTAATTATCTTTTTGTATTCGTAATATGTATATAAATATATAGTTCACTTATTTATTATATAAGATGAGTGTAACAGTACACAAATATAATTATTAAAATATATATATTTAAAAAAATAATTTTATTATTATCATAAATACAGAAAGAACATAATATAAAGATTATTATTTTTTTCTATAAAATAGTGATAAATGATAATGTAAGATCATTATGTTAATACCAAACACATCAACGGCAAAACTTGTTTCGTTCCTTTCCTATAATCATTCCATTTTTCAACTTATTTCATTCATATCAAATTTCATTACATTATACCAATCATAGTGTGTACCTGAAAAAAATAATTACTAGCAAATTACATTTTGGCATGTTCATGTTGTGAAGGGTTATATTACATTTTGGCATGTTCATGTTGTGAAGGGTTATATTCCGCTGATTAGAGCTTCTGGAAATACAATAATGATATGCTAACCTTCGTCTTATTGCAAGAAATCAAAATTGATGCTACTCAAGGTAGTACTTGTGATTCGAAAGATGAATGATTTTTTTTCCTTATAATTAAGAGCAAACTTCAGGTTTTTCACGAAAACCTTTGGTCAATAGAATATGAAAAAAGTAACAAGTATTGCTACATTCTCGTAGAAATTTACAAGATATCTCCCTTTGTTCTCACATGGCTAAAGTGCGCTGCACGTGAGAGAGGGATTTGACTCATTGAGTGTCATGCATGCCTTTTTTTGTTGGTAGATAATAATAATTATAATAATCTAATGTGATTGGAAATTCAGAAAACCCGGACCTCAGTAATTTGCCGAGTTTTCTGTTTGGAGAATCCATGGGGGGAGCAGCAGCTCTTAAAATCCACCTGAAACAACCGGATTCTTGGAATGGTGCCATTCTTGTTGCTCCTATGTGCAAGGTAAACTAACTGTTTTTCCTTTTCTTTTGACAAAAACTATAAATAGTCTTGTCTGAGTAATTACTAATTACAGCCCTATTGATTTAGCTGCTGTACACTGAGGTAAATCTGATTTTTATTTGTTGTTAACTATTTAGATAGCGGATGATATGGTTCCCCCGAGGTTAGTGACCCAACTTCTAATTGGATTGGCGAAAGTACTTCCAAAATCAAAACTCGTTCCCCTAAAAGATTTTGCTGAGTTAGCATTCAGAGACCCGAAGAAGAGAGAACAGGTTGGTGCTTTCCTCGAAAGATGACTTGTTAACAAGGCCAAGTCTTTACCTTCATTCTTTGCTTCTGTTTTTCTTTTTGAGTTCATTGAGGAATAATCGGTAAGGGAACTCAGGACAAATTTTCATCCCAATTCGTGTTTTGCTTTTAGTTTATCATGAGATGATTTTAATGGTTTTGTTCTCTGTTCAGACATCCTATAACGTTATAGCGTACAAGCACAAACCACGCTTGGGAACGGCTGTGGAGCTATTGAGGACCACAAAAGATATTGAGCAGAAACTAGAAAAGGTAAGAACTATTTGAAATACCTTGTTTTAAGCTCTATCCAAGTTAAGCTGTTATTTTGTGAATGAAACAATGAGAAACTTGGTGTAATTTAATGGTGAAGTTTATATTAGTATCTATGATTGACTGCCAGTAGAATAAACTACAGTATAATTCAAATGACTAAATTATTAGGGTGTTTTCTTGACAGGCCTTAATATATTTCAAGGCTTTTCTTACATTCCATTAACTTTTATTATATATTTCATTACAATATGTTGCAGGTTTCTCTGCCATTATTGATCTTGCACGGCAGAGAAGACAAAGTGACGGACCCATCAGTGAGCAAGGCATTGTACGAGAAGGCGAGCAGCCGAGACAAGAAACTTATCCTCTATGACGGTTCTTATCATGCCCTTCTCGAGGGGGAGCCAGACGAGGTTATACTCAGGGTGTTTGAGGATATTATTTCTTGGCTTGACAAGCATTGTTAATCTAGTTGATACTGGCGTTTGGGTTATGACTTATGTAACTCTAAGAAAAGGTGGGAAAAGGTTTTTGTTTTTTTAGTTCCATGGAAAGATACTACACTATATTCTTGCCTCCATTGCATTATACTACTTCATATTCTTTTTATTTGTCATTTTAGATTTATTTATCATTATCAAATAAATATCGTTTTGGATCTTTTATACATATCTTTCCATTGTTACCCTCATTTAATTAATACACAACACATTTTGGGAAGAAAATTTGGGAAGAAAATTGTGGAAAACGATGAATTTTCTATTTAAAGAACATAAAAAAAAGCTAAAAAGAAAGAAATTGATTAATGTTAATTTGTTTTAAATAAAGCTAATATTGGCAAGAAAAAGTTTTTAATTTGTATGTTAAAGCACATAACTGACATTAAAAAAGAATAGGATGGAGTACTTATTATACCTTGTAAAGCGTATGAATCGAGGAGATTCAGGTGTTAGCGTGAGAAAGTGAAAACTGTTCTTATACATTATATTTGAAAATTTTTAACCATTTTTGATTGCTACTTTTTGTTCAATAATATATATATATATATAT